GACTAAAAGAAAAAAGAAATTAAAAAAGAGAAATTAGAAATGGTAAAATGGTCAACTTATATAGACAAGGGATGAATAGTATAATTTTTTAAACCATATGAATGCGTGTTGCTGATTTTTTAAAGTTTGGACCAAAATTATAAATCTGACCAAACCACAGTGACCAACACTTTAATTTACTCTTAAAAAAAGTCGTCGTAGGAGATTTTGCGATTATCGCCAAAATTTAATCCTCTAATTAAATTAAATTTGTTTTGTTCGTTAACGAGCGGAGGGTACATTCCTCACAATAGGTTTCTTCTGTTTGAGAGTTATTTAGGGCATCGTGTTGTCAAACAATCACCAAAACCAAAAAAATGGGACGATACAACAGGTCTGGCCGGAGCAGAAGTTACAGTCCTCGTCGCAGTCGAACGCCACCGCCACCAACACGACGTCGTTACGATGACCCTCGAGACAGTCGTTACGATGACTTCCGAGACCGTCGTTCTAATCCACACCCACACCCACACCGCCGCCGATCCCCTGCTCCCTCCGGCCTCCTCGTTCGCAATATATCTCTAGATTCTAGGTAATCCTTTTCTTCTATTTTCGTTTTCCTCAGGTTATGATCGAAATTAATTTATGCTGTTTAGTATCAGGTGATGATGTCGTAGAGCAATAGATAAGGTTTATTAGATTGTGACATTGTTCTAGTGGATTGTATGCAAAACACGACGGGTTCCTCCCAATTGTATTGGTTCAACGGGATCCCAAAATTAGGTTTTAGAGATATCATGTATCGGCTAATAATTTGATATCTCTTTATTAATATTTTAATAATAAAATATATGCAAAACTTGTTTGCGTTTTCAAATAGCACCTGGCAGAAGATATGATAAAAAAGAATAAGAACGAACAACCCTTAGGGTAGGAAAAAGAATGAAACCCATGAAAAGTTATAATATGGTTATATGGGAAGCCCTAAGCAATATCAATACCATTTTTGTGGTGCATACACCTCTGCTTTCACATATATTATAGCACATGTGTGGATTTAAAACTTCTTGAAGATGAAAACTGATAACTACAACCTTTATTATAAATGACCTTGGACCTTGGAGAGTAATTAGAGAAGAAGGTTGTTTGAATGAAGATTGCAACATTGATAAGTTTAGCAATTTGGAACCAAAACTTGATAGATTGAAGAATGTCAAGTCATGAATTGGTTGATACTTGATAGACTGATATTTCATTTTCCAATTAGGTCTTAACTTTATGTTGTTCTTCATACCTAAGAGCATGATGTGATTTAAGTGTTTTCCTACAATTTCTAATAGTAAAATATGTTAATGTTATTTCTGTAATCTGTATGTGCAGGCCAGAAGATCTCAGGATTCCTTTTGAACGTTTTGGCCCAGTAAAGGATGTCTATCTACCAAAAAACTACTATACAGGGTATAAGAACTACTAGTATAGAATTATAGATTATTAGAAGTTATATAATAGATTATGTTGTTGAATCTTGATAATTAATTGCAGTGAGCCACGTGGGTTTGGTTTTGTGAAGTTCTGTAATGCTGAAGATGCAGCAGAAGCTAAACATCAGTTAAATCATTGTGTGATTGGTGGGCGTGAAATAGCTATTGTTTTTGCTGAAGAAAATAGAAAAACTCCTAGGGAAATGCGGACTACTAGTCAGCCAAGGTCTTCTCAAACATTGAATATCTATTTCCAATTCTCTATCTATATCTGTATCTATTTATACCTATATCTATATCTTTCTATCAATTCTATATATCTTATAAAAGAGGCCATTATTTTCATTTGGTTCAAGATAAACTATTTATCTTAAAGACTTGAACCACATTAATTTTATCTTTTTGAACATTTTTATATTTTTAATGCCAACTCTTCAAGTTGTAACCTAGTATACTCATTTTAATGCTATATCTTGTGAATTATTAATATAATATAGTTAGTTTGTTAATATAAGTATGGTGTGAAAATTTAAATGCAAAACCTATGTCAAATAAGCTCAAAACAATGTCCAAAGACTGTTTTTTTTTTAATATATATATATATATATATATATATATATATATATATAT